GAACCGGCCACTTATAGATCTATGAACGCTCTTGTCTCTTGAAATTTGACAATACTTAACGAATTAACCTCAGTTTTAATAACCTAATTTCGTACTCAAACATTTTTCACTGGGCGAATTGATCCTCTGTGAATGTAAGGGCACCGCTACTGGATCGCTTTACTTAATGCCATGATAACTATACTTAATTCCATGATAACTTTACTATGAACACTTAACATTCATTGTATAATTGCACAGTTACCATCATTGTACAGTTGAACAGTTGCCATCATTGTACAGTTGAACAGTTACCATCATTGGACAGTTGAACAGTTACCATCATTGTACAGTTGAACAGTAACATCATTGTACAGTTGAACTGTTACCATCATTGTACAATTGCACAGTTACCATCATTGGACAGTTGACAAGTTACCATCATTGTACAGTTGAACAGTTACCATCATTGTACAGTTTAACAGTAACATCATTGTACAGTTGAACTGTTACCATCATTGTACAGTTGAACAGTTACAGTCAGTGTACTCTCAGGGTGTTAGTGACCATCGCACGCTCAAAGTAAGTCGTCATAAAATTTGTTTGCTTTTTCTCTTATGTATTTGCGAAACCTGCGTATTTGTTCCCTTCACTGCTTGAGATGCTGTGTTCTGTTGATGTTTTTAATTTTTTAACATATTTCTTCGTAAATTTTATCGTTCAAGGAGCCATTTTTCTCCATAATTTGCCCCCTTTGTTTCTTTTTAATTTTAGGATTGCTGCCGCTGTTGAATATCTTATGTGTGGTCATGTGCATTTTTATTTCTGGATAATTCTTCAAAATCAAATGGTATCGTATATACTTTCATAAAACCCTCCTTGCACCAGAGTCACTAATATTCTAGATATTTTATTGCAGTATTCATGAGTAGATCCGTCAGAATAGTGTTCATTTTTTATCACCCCGAAGCGAATATTGTTTAAAATGATATCTCTAATAAAGAAATATCTCTTTCCATGGGCTCAATAATTAACTCTAGAAAATATAGAATAAAATATATTATTGCGGACACAACACATTCAATAATTTATCCCAATTTTTAAAACCAACTTCTCGCTCCCAATATACTTTTGTAAGCATTTGATGCTTATAAAAAGCGTGATATTTAAAAAAGATGCCAATTCAGTACGGGAAATTTTCACGAGTTCCGGCTTTCTTTGAGTCACCCCAACGAGATGACTACGAGCTCATTAAGAGCGGCCTGCGCTGCCGGTGTCGCAGCGGTGCTTTGAACTTCTTTGTAGCGAACGCGCCTCGAAATGCAGCCCGCAATAGAAATGAAGCCCATTATCTCATCGTCATATTTCTTGTATTTTTCGTGTCAGCTGTGCGCGTTCTGACTTCTTTCTGGTTTATAGCTTCATGCTTCCTTGTATTTTCTGTGTCAGCTTTGCACGTTTTGATTTTTTATGTTTTTTTTGCTGACGATTCTGGTATACTTCCGTATATTTTCTGTTTGCGTTTTATGTATTTTAATTTTATTTTCTTGCAAATGCTTACATTAATGTTCAGCATTTACATTTTGCATTCACCCTAATCTCCTGGGATATTTTCAAGTTGGTTACATAATAATATGTCTTAATTCTGTATATTATTTTTCCTAGTTAATCAAATATTTCGTAAATTTACCTTGGCACTCGCCGAAAATTAATGCGGGATTATAACGCTTAAGCATTATAATTACGACACATGTCCGAATAAGTGCTGTCTCTTATACACATCTCCGATNGCTAATTTGAAAAAGATTTCCTGTATTATGTTATGCAAATAAATATATGACCAGAAGCTGATTTCAGTCGGGTGGCCTAGCAGACCCAGAATAACTTTGCGCCAAGTGTAGCGACTCCATTGGGTAGAAGCCTTGGCGGTACCCAAATTTCATTAGAGCAAGTAAGCCTTCGAACTTTTCAGACCGAAAGGATGCATCGAATAGAGAATTCAAACCACAGATGAGTTTGTCAAACCCATAAATTCTTTGAGTAATTGATATGTCAAACCCATAAATTCTTTTGTATAATTGCAATTGTTCTTGTGATTGCCACAGAAGTTGCGCAACCTCAATTCAGTTATAGTAACGCGGAGTCGGGATTGTCTTCAGATGAGCCTATAGCTCCTGATTTACAGGCGAGATATTTTTTCACTTAATGAAGGGAGTTTTTCTTGTTAATTACAGGTACGCTTCCCATGCAACCTGTTGATGTACTCAGAAAATAAATAGGTTTTGTCCTCGTATAGATGCACTTTCGTACTCGCAGCACGGGTAGAGCAGACACACTGTTAGAAAAAACGGTGAAAAAACGGTACGCCCACTGGCGTTCTAGTGGCCGGTCGCCCCGTGAAAATAAACTGTTTTGCCGTTTTTATCAGATGTTTTACTGATTTCTAGTGTTAAATTAGAATACAAACGGCGACACGGTGTTTCTTTTCACGTGCCAACCGGCCACTGAAACGCCGGTAGTACCGTTAACGGTAATTTTTCTAACAGTGCATAGCACTGATTACTGCTACATACTTTAGCCTGGCCAATCAGGGTCAGTATGTCCCACACAACCACACAAGAGCAAAAAGTGCATTAATATCTGGAAAATGAACCACTCTTTCCTCTGAGTGATCTTGAGAAATTAGCGAATCATCTATAGAGTGCATGTGTATTACGTGGTATAATATCTGAATGAAATAAATCTCATTGATCTTAACGTATAGCTTTCTGTTTAAATTCATTTAAGTGTAATGCTTAGCTGTGACACTAAGACACTACTATATTTCTTATCACAAAAATGTACCAACTTAAGGTTTAAAATAGAGGAACATACAACCGAATGATGGTGTTTTTTGAGCTTACCGCCTCGAATATCGTTGTTGTGCGCGAAGGCGAGAACTGCAAAGTTTTTCATTTCACAAGTTTTCTGAAAGTATAGAGATTTGTGAGGAAACTCTTGGCGACCCCTTGTGTTCGTGGCATTGAAAACTTTTTCTTTCTGTTCCTGAAAACTTTTCTTTTGATGACCGGAAACTTTCTACGCCAAGGATATGTTTTTTCTGAAGCTTCGGAGTTGCCTTTGACAAATGAATGAAACTTCATTGAGTTTTATTTACACGTTTTAGAATGGTTTGCAGTGTTGTTGTATCTGAATCGTATATATTCTTAGAATTTTATGGCAGCTGATATTTGATAAATATTATGCGGCAGAGTCGTGTTTCCAAACCAACAAATCTAAATAATAAACTGAAACTCTTGCCGCTTTGGCATTTCTTCCAATTCTGATGATAACTTATTTGAATGGTATTACATAATTTACGAATTTTTTCATATTTGCCGTAAACCAAGGCATTAAATTGTAAGTTTCAGTGCTATTCCTCATTAATGAGTCGAGTTGTTCTGCGTCTGTATGCAAGTATTGAATCGTTTCATTGTTTAGGTCGAGAGAGAATAATTTGACTATAGAGCGGTGCACTAATTGGCTATTACAGCTCATTAACAATCGTTTACCTCATTAGTCATTAGTGACTATATAGGTACTAATGATTTTCTCTTAACAACGATGTTTTGGTATGAGCCAAGTGCTTATGAAACGATTATTACAAGAAATATTCACAAACTCAATAGCTTGTGACCATAGCTTTTTTCAGCTTTTATTTATTCACTTGCATTTGATTTAAATTTTCAGTGCTTCTCTGGTACAATCAAAAGATGCTACATATTAGCGGATCCGAGTTTTTCTGCACTGCAGCATAATAGGCGATGTGCTCATGTGATACGCCTGAACTTGCTCCAGGCGTATTATTTCCTATGTCGACGCCTAAACTTGCTCCAGGCGTATTATTTCCTATGGTGACGCCTAATCTTGCCCCAGGCGGATTATTTCCTATGGTGACGCCTAAACTTGCTCCAGGCGTATTATTTCTCATGTCTGAGGAAAATCTTTTGTTTATTCTATTATTGGTAACCCAAGTTGATGGGCTTGCGTTTAGACACGCGTTTTACACCTTGGTTTAATAATGAATGTATTATTTTCCTTTTTGTTTATGAGTAATTTTTTGTACCTTTAGGTGACAAGACGGAAAGTTTCTGCGAAGTGAGCTTAGGTTCTCAGGTGCGAGAGACCGGACGCTGTTGCGGCCAGAAGCCTCACTGGGACTCCTCCATGCAGTTCTACATCAAGAGTCTCAGCGACGACCGGCTCTGTATCACACTTATGCTCAAGGGATACTTCCGACCTAACGGTGAGTGTGCCTTCCAAATAACACTTCCTGAAACAAGAAGTGTGCTTGGAAGTGTGTTCGATTGAAACAAGAAGTGTTACTTGTAAGTGTGTTAGATTGAAACAAGAAGTACACTTTGAAGTGTTTGATTGAAACAACAAATGCACATTTCAGTATGTTGGATTGAAACAAGAAGTTTACTTTGAAGTGTGTTACATTGAAACAACAAATGCACATTTAAGTATGTTGGATTAAAACTATAATTGTACATTTAAGTGTATTGGGTCGAAACAATAAATTTACATTTAAGTATGTTGGGTTGTAACAATAACTGTATAACTGTTCATTGAAATGTGTTGGATTGAAACAATAAGTGTACATTGCAGTTTGTTGAGCAAAACGCCTCGAGGTCAGCGGGTGTGAATTTAATTGAAACCACATCTCTCGGGCACTTGATACAAGTGCTTATTCCATTGTTTTAAGTTAATAAAATTACAGTGTTCTTACCGCGAGCACATTTTGCATCCACATATTTCATCTCATTGCCAAGTATCACAGCTGGCAGCAAACCACTGCCACCCGCACTCATTTTTTCCGTTCTGTATTCAATTATAAGAAACTTGCGAGCGGTGCTTGCATTTGGAGAATTTTTCGTGTAACGGGCGTCCCGAGTGCAATTTTGCTCGCGTTGGCCGTGCTTTACGAGGAGCCTTTTTTATCTATTAAATATCTAAGCCGTGGCGTGTGTGGCCAACTGGCTGCCGCCTGTTCCTTTGCTATGAATTATATTCGGGGTAAGTCCATTCTACTTGAAGTTCGCTCGGCCGACGCTTGAGCAAATCTAGCTGTTCCCAGTGCAGAGCTTGAAAACATCGCTGAAACTTAAGCTGTACAAAATACTATTTTCGTCTGCAACTACTTTTTAGAAGTTAGCAATTTACCTCGTTTCTCCAAATGACTTCTAGATTTGCTGGCAACGTTCATCATATGAATGGGTCGTTCACTTATTTATGAATGGGTCATGCAGTTTAATGTGGGGAAACAACTTCTTTCACTTATTTTCTAGTTAAACCAACATGATTGTCATGTTTAAAAGTGCTGAGTCTGGCGATTTTTTTTTCATTTTTTTATTATTGGTTCAAAGATTAGATATTAGATATTGATAAACCAAAGATCATTGGTTCAAGTCTTTTAAATTTTGTGGACTGTACGAAGAAGAAAGCAACTGAAGCCGTAGAGAAATGAGGCTATAATCGTATTCTCCTCTCCAGGTGGAACAACCTACTGAATATTTTAATTAAAGCCTGCACAGCTCCAAGTTGAATATTCCCAATTATCACGCCGGTCTGAATTTGTTTTTTATTGAATAAATGTCTTCAATGCTACTATCATTTTTTTATTGCGAGTAAAAGATATCACGGTGAATACATTCTGTTATTGGAGTTTTTTAATCACCCACTATTTAATAATACCAGTCTTGTAGGTACATTACCTAACAATAAAATTATAGTTTTTAGCGGGTGAATCGTGAATCTTCTTAAGACATCGGTCGTATTGGAGAATTCATTTCTTATTTACTTTCGAAATTATGAAAACCGAACTATTAAAATTTTTAAGCCTTGCTTGAAATTTCACGATAATTCTGCGACTGTTCCTTTTGAATCTCTGAATATGGTGTATTGTTCAATTAAATTATGCTATTTTCAGAATTATAATGGCAGTTGGGAAGGCTATATTTTCTAAAAGGGTTTTCGAGTCGCTGGAACTATCGATCCCGAGAGTTTATATTACAGTAATAGTTCGTAACCGATATACATTGATTTTCTTAAGATAATCTTTCGTGACTAACCGCTCAGATTTACTCGTATAACACAGCTTTCCCCTATTAAATTTTCAGATTTCGTCGGTCGTGCAGAACTTCTCGTGCAGCGTTTGTGGCAAGAACAGAAAGCCAAGCAACAACAACATCCCGTACCTCAAGTAATTAAAGTGGCATTGCAAGAAACAACCGCTAAAGATGCATACGTTGTCGTCAAATATTCCGTTATTCTCTTTGATAAACACAACTCATGATCTGTCGCTTCGACCCTCGTCCCACTCGGTTATTAATTTATTTACATTATTTACAAGCATTATTTGTCTTACTGCTGCTCGGCTCCCGTCTCACTCGACATAATTTACCTCACTGCTGCTCGGCTACCGTCTCACTCGACATAATTTACCTCACTGCTGCTCGGCTCCCGTCTCACTCGACATAATTTACCTCACTGCTGCTCGGCTCCCGTCTCACTCGACATAATTTACCTCACTGCTGCTCGGCTACCTTCTCACTCGACATAATTTACCTCACTGCTGCTCGGCTACCGTCTCACTCGACATAATTTACCTCACTGCTGCTCGGCTCCCGTCTCATTCGACATAATTAATTTCTCGCCAACATTTCTTGCCTTTTTTTGTCTCGAAATATCTACGTCAGCGTATTATGGAAATGTTTGCCAAACTGCAGAGAAGTGCTTCTTCTCTTTACTGGTTTCGAGTCTGGGTTGCATTGAATTAAATTAGTTGAAAGATCCTACTGCAATGCAATCGATTTGTACCTGCTGAGTTTCTATTGAGATGGTGAGAAGAAATCTTTAGTTTCAAATAAGGCACATAATTACTTAATACCAATACGGATGTCTAACAAAGATCTTCATGTTGTTTGTGACTACTAGTAAATTACATATTTTTTTACCTTGTTGCTGTTACGTAACATTTTGTTGTTATCGCTAAAATTTTTGTTCTCATATTGCGTGACTTCGAAACCAATGAATATTTTTCTACAAGTTTAAAAGTTATTTCAAGTATCGTATAGCTTACTGCCTTACTCTCTCTCTCTCTCTCTCTCTCTCTCTCTCTCTCTCTCTCTCTCTCTTGAGGGTTATTTTGTTCAGGATTCTTTGCAATTCTCGGTCGGACGAACGATCGACGTCTTGTACGATTTTCTCAATTTTTGTTGTTGTTTCTTCATCCCTGCTTTCTCTTTGAGATTTCAACGCGGTGTTTTCCCCTAGCCCGCTGACCATTGTACAATGAAAATGCCATGGGGATGACAAATGCGTGACTTTCCAGTAGTTTCTTCTTACCTCTATAGCAGTCCAGTTTAATTGCTGTGAGCTACGTTAAAACGTTGGTTGATTAAACGTGATGTTTTGAAAGAATAAATATTGCTCTACTAGATTCTTTTCTATGTTGTGAAATTTTTCTTACTGTGCCTGTAAATGTTTTCATTTGTTCGATTACAAATTGTATTGTATGCATATTGTATACAAATTGTATTATAAGCATAACTGTGTTCTGTAATGCATCTAATGAAACACTAACATAACGTTTGTTAGATTTATTACCATTATTGTTAAGTATGAATTTCGCTTAGCGATTTTGTTTCTTGTGAATTTGAGTTCGATTTTTGATGCTCAATATTCTAAATTCATCCACTGATAAGATAAGAAAATGTTGACTTAAGGTTTCAGTGAGTTATTATACAATTAAGTTTTTCACGGTGATAGATAATGATTCTTCGAATTTATGGAAGATTTGTGAGTGTTCCTTCGAAGTAGAAGATTTCAGTTGTTATTCTGCTATACGAATGCGCGCTAGTAGGTTTGATCAAGGTTTGCCGGTACCTGTTATATTCTTCCGACATTATCTGTGCCTACTTATGACGTTTTTATGCGGTAGAAATGTGATGCTTTATACAGTAAAGAATTAAACGGAAGCACATGTGCAAATGCCTTGCATTGATTCTGTAGTTAAATTAACCTGCATTATCGTGCAGTTTATTGGTGTGATGCGTAAGTCCTCGTGTAATAATTCAATTTAATTGTGAGAACTCGGATCAGAACTCACACCGTAATTAAGTGGTGAAGAGCATCGACTCGGGAGTAGCTAGATGCGGGTTCGAACCCCGGAAAGCTATGAAAATTTTGCGGTAGTGCTTGCTTGTAGGTGGCGCTTGCTGTCAAAAAAGATGCAAGATCTCTGATTTATCCTAAACGACGCCCATGTACCGACCGTATTTAGGACGGAACTTGAAGTTACGTACTGCAGTGACGTTGAACGTCAATGAAGTTAAACGCCATAAAATGTGTTTAAAGTGAAACCCAATTGTGTTAGGATCCGTAGCCGTGCAGTGCGCTGCAGTTTAATTGTGTTGAATATCAGTGAAGTAAGATGTATTAATGACTAAGTTAAAAGATTCAGAAATGCATTGACAAGTATTGCAGTGGTGATGTTAAATGCTACTTAATGCTGTAGAGGCCGGGTGATTCAGATTTGATGAATTTGATTGCAGTAAAAGTGCCGCAAAGAGCGGTGCAGTAGAGAAGAATGCAAATTACATTTAAAATAAATTCAAATAAACACTATTGTTTGCCTGATTTTTATTATCATCCGTAAGCGCAGGATTCATTTATTTACGAAACCTTGACTTAATTGTTGTCTATGTTGCATAAAGTTTATTATAAAGATGGAATTTAACTGATCCTTCGATGCCACAAGTACATCATTTCTAGTTTTAACTTTAGTTTAAAAAATTGCCGATTCACTATTGTACTTTTTCTAAATGTTCCAATGAAATTTAGAAAACCCTAAGAAATTTAAAGTGTAAGTCTTTAAAAACATTTTTCAATTATAATTGTGTGTTGTGCGTCGAGGGATTGAAATCGAATTTGAAGTTCAAAGCAGTAAATTAGTCACCCCGGCAAATAATGCAAGTTATCATGAATATTCTAGTCGATCGTCGTGAAAAAGTTGAGGCGTTGAGGCGTTGTAAAAGCCATCTAAATCGAATATTGTGACGATTTAAATATTTTTATTAAATCGACTGAAGAATTGAAAGTAACAGTGGTCCTCCTGATTTAACGACTTATAATTTCATTTCGTTCCCTCCACGAAGCTATGAAACGACAAAAATTAAAAATAAATTCGGGACTGGCATGCAACATTTCCGGTATCACTCGAAAATTTAATCAGAGATCAGGACGCCACGAAAGAAACTGATGTAATGAGACACAAAAGGTACACAATTAGTTTATTAGTGATCATTTCAAAGCAGCGAAGCCCAAATGCATCCACTGCACTGTTCGAAGAGGCCACGTCTGTCTTATTTTTTTATTAATTTTAATTATTTATTTTATATATCAAAACAATGATCAGCAACGGCTTTAAATTAAAATTTTGCAGCTAGCAGTGATTAGAGAAATGTTTTTTTAAGATAATTTTTTTTAATTTTCATTGAGTATTTTCAGTTCGCCACCCTCGTTAACCTGCAAATGTGAATTGCGTCTCACTAAATGATCACGTGAGGGAAAAAATATAATTGTCCACTTAATCACTATAGCAATAATAAACATTAAGTTGTCTAAGCTTGATTTAAATTTGCCTACAGAAAAATAAGTGTTTCAACTGATTCTAGTTATCTAAGCCTGAAATTTTAAGTATTTGATTGATAAAACGAAAATGTATTTATTTTGCTCCACCTTATAGCTTGATAGTTACCTGCAACCTTCACTGGGACATATTCGCGAGAAGAGCTGTTGAGGGTGATTAGGAATGAATAGCCTTGCAATTCAAATTAATATGAGACACATCAATGAGAAAAGTTTAACATGTCTCCCATCATTATTCATGTGTGATTGACCGTTTTCATCAGAGTCTATTCAGCTTTCAACTACTCTGAATAACTTCATAACGGCAATCCACTCTTGCACTCTGAAGTTCATTCTTGCAATCATCATCCTTCATTAGATATAATAATATTCATGCATACCATTCAAGTATCATGTTACAAATACATCTGCAACTTATCATTGTTGCCTGTATAATCCAGTTTTAATGTTTCAAGTATAGTATCTACAGGAATGGCTCGATATCTAATTAGAAATGGACATATTATTTTTCTACTACAGTTCTCCTGCGAACACAATAATTCAAACAATGGTTTATAATAATGAGATCATCTTGATCCCAATTTAGAATCTAAATAAGAAAAAAATATAACTCAGTACTAACGGCAGTGAGTGACAGAGAGCGCATTTTCTCGTGCATAAATCAGTTTTCATTGCCATTAGTACAGTGCATTAGAGCTAGAGATGTCGTATCTTTGATACAGGCATGCCCGACGACGAAAACGTGAAAAATCGACGAAAACGTGAAGTCACGGACGGACGGACAGACGGACTGACAGACAGACAGACGGACGGACATGGTGGGAACAATAGGGCATTTTTTTCTATAAAGAGAAAATCCGCTAAAAATGAAAATCTACTTGAAAAAGAGCCAAATAAATTTGTATATATGAGAGCACCTAAGCTTGAGGAAAAACCACAGATGGAAATCCACTCATTGCGTGGCTTTAAATTTTCAGTAAATGAGTTTGTGTTGTGGCGAGCGGGTCTGAACTGCTTTTTTGAGGCGACTAGAAACCCACTCGCCCAGTATGTCTTTACAAGAAAAATCAGGCACCGACAAACGAGTTAGCTGCGAGTTTAGACAAGTTCTGATTAAAAGAAGAGCTCGTCGAAAAACTCCCTTCTGAACTTTTCGCTCACTAAGTGAAAAGATCTCCTTGAAAATGTGTAGCAGAAACCGCGAAATTTCCCGACTCGTTTTAAGAAGGGAAAAGTGGGCTTTGCATGTGATCAGCGTGCAACTTATGAAATAATTTGTATTCATCCGATGCAAAAATAGTTTTTTAGTGTCTGAATATTGGAGAGGCAAAATACATATGTGATCCTTCACCTTCACCGCTGCATCAATATGTACAAGAAATGTAATTCAGTCGCTCAACTCAATTATGATTTTTCTAAGATTTTTCCAGTTATGTGTGAAAAATCCAATTACACGAAAATGCGATTTAGTCTCAGATACTGCAGAGTTATCCGATCAAGAAACACAATACAATATAATATAAAAATCATGAAACGTACATTTTAGACTTGGCAATTATGGTGATGTAAATCTCAACCTAAATAATATGTGAAAGAGGCGAATATGAACTAAAGAGGAGCAATAATAAGAGAAGCATTACAATATTATAAACTATTTTTCACGAATTAAAAAAAATCATCATCATATAATTATTAAAAGGCCCTATAACATTTCATTATTAGCATAACATGAATAAGCTCAAACGGAGAATTCCCAACCACGCCACAAACTTTGTCGTATCTTTTGTCGAACTTGTTTATTTTGCAATTTTGTACCACTATTTTTTTTTTTTGACGTATTATGTTTTAAAAGAGTAAAGAAATTTATGTTTTGTCATGAGTGTTCTTTGAGTTGATAATCCTGCATGCACCATTACACAAGTAATATATTTTCCTCTGGATTGACAATAAAGCTTTTGATACGATTGTGTCGTAAACATTACAGTTTCTAAACTGTACCACCAGGGCAAGTTTTTCACGCTCAACAACACAGAAAAACCAGCATTCTCTCACCTAGATGAACTTCATCCCCCCAAGAAGCGATACTGCAAGTTTGGCTGCAACGATCGAGCAGTTTGATTACATTCCTCTTCGGTTTTTCGCTTCGTCGCAGTGGTTGCAGAGGAGGATTGAGCTACGACAACGAAATTCGACATTGCAGTGCAACCCGTGCAGTCTGTGAAAAACTAGAGGGCTGAGTTTTAGGAAGAATGAACGTAAGAATTTTGTATGTGTTTTGGTATCTTTGAACAGAAATGATGAAAAACAAGATATTAGTACGCGAAAGAGATTTACTGAATTGATGTTTTTTCTTT